GCTGTCTTTGCCCCCTCACACACACAGGGGCTCGGGAAATGAGCTGCTGAGACACAGTCAGCAGAGAGATCAAGGGCACAATTAAGCAAATCTTCCTTCCCCTCCATCCTGATGGACCTACACCCGTTTTGTAACCCTTCCCCTGAGATAAGATCCCTGAGCACCCTCGCCATGGCCACCAGCCCCAAATAAACATGAGCTACAACAAGGCAACAAAAACTGCTTACCCAAGGCAAAATAATTTTTAAAGGGGCTCTGAATAGCAGGGTGGCGCTTTTTTTCTCCACGTGCCCTGCACTTGATCCTTATTATATTTCCAAATGGGGACATCCCAGAGTTTATATGCTTGGCCATGCTGATGTGACTTTCAGTGCTGGAACACAGCCCTGGAAAATAGCCAGAAGGATGAATTTAAACGCTGGCAGGTGATGCTATCCACGCAGGAGCACTGACCACGTTTTTGCTTTGCCATGCAGTATTTTTATACTTAAAATCTGCATCTGCTAGCAAGCGGGTGGGGAGGAAGAGGTGAGGGCAATAGCAAGGCAGGCAGGGACCTTACCAAGCAGGGCACCGCATCCCAGTTCCCAGGCAGAGCGGGTCCATCAAAAACATCCCAGATCAACCTATACAGATTAAACAAGGAGCCAGGCCAAGCACCTGAGCTTAAATGCACTTCCCGAGCAGCGGAGGTGGTTCCCCAGCAGCATCTCTCCCAGCTGTTTCTCATTCCAGGCTTTTCCCTGCAGACAGAGCCCAGATTGCAGCCTCAGTGGGCCAGAGCTGCCCTCCAGCACATGCAGCCCAGCTCCGGGGGGGCAGGAGGGCTGCTTTCTGGGGCTTTAGTGGGGCCAAGGCTGTGAAGGCGAAAGCTGCAGGGCGGGAAGCAGTGTGCTACAGCTGCCCCCTCCCCGTCGGCTGGCGCAGAGGCTGGCAGAGCGCTGTAAAATGCTGGGTAAGGCGTTTGCAGCATTCGAGATGGCTCAGTGCATCCCTTCCGCTGGTGAGCTTCCTTCAAAAGCACATGTAAACAACATTTGTAGCATTTATTTGCAGGCTGTCTTTAAAAAAGTCATGGATGAAGGCACATCCACACGCAAACACACATGATTTTGCCGGCACATGCGTGTTGACATGCATGTGTACCTGTTGCAGTGCACAGAGCAGAAAGCTCAGCGCCCACACACCATCCCCCTGCCCAAATACGTCTCTTCATGGGGCCACTCGTGCACAAAAGCACGTGCCCTAAGGCTGCTTGGTCCTGCCGGAGTGGGGACCCCCCAGCTGCAGGAGATGGGGTGGCTGAGCGGCGATGCCACCCCACCGAGCTGCTGCTGGGAATGTGCCCCGTCCCAGGGCACAGGGAAAGGGGTGGGGTTTTTTTCCACCAAATAAATCCACCCCCCATCCCAGCTCATGGAAACCTGGCCCTGGAGCAAGTATGTGTCATGCCCAGGGGGGAACCAGCCCCAGCCCCCACATTTGCTCCCCGGAGCTCAAATCTTCTCTGCTGTTTCCAAATTCGCAGCCTCCGCCCTGGGAAATTTCGGCCGCGGTTTATTGGAAGCGACCGCAGCCAGTCGTGCCCAAAGGCGGTCGCGGGAAGCTTTGGCTCCTCTTTCTCAACATGGTTTTGTGGGTTGGGGTGGGTTTTTTTACCCTCCCAAGGCTTTAAAGGTTTTGTTATGTTACCACTGGGTTTTGCCAGCAATCGTGGAGAACGCACTGGACACAAGCCTGGTTTTGTTGACCGAGTTTTCTCTTTGGGAGGCATCTCAGACTTGCGGAGACGAAACTACGCTGCAAGAGGGATGGATGTTCTGGTGT